GGGGACTGGAGCATCTTCCATATGAGGAAAGTCTGAGAAAGCTGGGTTTGTTTAGCCTGGAGAAGACTGGGTGCGAGGGGAATCTCATTAATGCTTATAAATATCTAAAGGGTGGATGTCAGGAGGATGAGACCAGACTCTTCTTGGTTGTGCCCAGCAACAGGACAAGGGTCAAAAGTCATAAACCAGTACGTAGGAGGCTCAACCTAAACATAAGGGTGTAAATAACATTATTTAGTGTGAAGGTACCAGAGCACCTGGAACAGGCTGCCCAGAGGAGTTGTTGAGTCTCCTTCTCTGGAGACATTCAAAACCCCCTTGGATGTGGTTCTGTGCGATTTTCTGTAGGTGATCCTGCTCTAGCAGTGGGCTTGGACTAGTTGATCTTGAAAGGTCCCTTCCAGCACCTCCCATTCTGTGAGATCTGGGTTCTGGGGAGCCAGAGCGTGGTCTGAAAGAGCAGTTGGAGCTGGAGTGCAGAGATGGGGGGTTGGCTACCATGCTGCTACTCTTGAGCTTACTCTTAGTATTGCCTAGGTTACTCTTAGAAATCTTTTGCACTTACTACTGTTTCTTCCCTGCTACAGCTCATCCCACTTCTTGCATACCCCTTACTAAAACTGACAAAGATCATGTAGACCTTATACAATTTTAGATGCTGCAGCTGTAGTCTGGTAGATGCAGTGAGGATTTTCGATGCTCTGTTCTTCTTATCCTCCACAGAACTGATCTTTCACAGTTGTGTAGTTTCACCTCAGTAACATGATAGAAATGAGGTTTAGTTTCTGCCTAGTGTCAGAAATAAAGTTTGTAAAATGGTGACCCTTCGTCAGAAAGAGCAGGAATAAAACTCTGGGTGTCTTGGATGCACTAAATCAAACTATTTTGAGAAAGACAGTATACCTAGAGTGTTTTAAATTGTCTATACTTTATTATTTGATTGAATTGGAGGTAGGTGGCTATGTTTTGTGTAGTAGCATCATGACTAGCATCTTCTAGTTATTTAACTGTGGTGATATACTTACCACATGATAAAATATTATTGAAGTTACCCACTGGGACAGTAGCTGAATACATCTTAATTTTCTAAGTGTGAGTTGTGTGTAAGCTGTTAAATTCTGTGTTATATTACAGAGTGATATACACCTCCATTTCATCAGAGATTTTGGAGGTTTTGTTATGCATCAAATAATCTTTGGAAATCAGAGGACTGAACTAAGTATCAGTTCTTAATGAGGGATCTGTTGTCAGTTACTCTACTGACTTTTTAACCTTTTTGCATGAAACAGAATGAAAGAGGCAAAACCCAAAAGCACAGCAGAGGACCAAGCTAATGAAACTAATGATTTTCACTTGTAAGACAGGGCTGGCTTGCAGCTGACTAAACATGAAGAGAGCTAGGTTGCTCTCTTTGTGTGTGTCCATGTAGCCGTGTCCTTTCTGTGTATGTTAGAGTTTAGTGGTAGGAGGTTGATATTGTGGTTTGGGTTTTTTTTTTTAAATAGTAGTTGCAAGAGATCTGCAACTTCCAGTTTGTTATGCACATTCATGTCTTCATTAGTTTAGTGCTGTACCCTTGAAAAGAACATAATACACTGAAATAACTGAAATTACTTTAACTTCAAGCTTAAGTGAGCGTACTAGCGATCCCATGGAACAACTTCAAAACACTAGGAATGGCAAAAATGTTGGTGTTGCATAAAATTTCCCAGGGTGGGAAAATGGAAGAGAAAATCTTCCTAATTTGGCTTTCTTTGAACTACACTACACACCATGAGTTTCTAATGTTTTTCTTACTGCAGTTCCAAGAAATTATGACCCTGTACTGCATCCGTTTGAGGTACCAAGAGAGTACGTAAGAGCTCTGAATGCAACAAAGCTAGAACGCGTGTTTGCAAAACCCTTTCTTAGCTCGCTTGATGGCCACAGAGATGGAGTTAATTGCATGGCCAAACATCCAAAGAGTTTGTCTACAGTGCTGTCCGGAGCTTGTGATGGAGAGGTAAGCTGCAGTTACAAATCACAACAAAGAAGATACATTTCTTATTTCTTTTATTTTTTTTTTCTTTCTCTCTCTTTTAAATGTCCCCTGCTTCTCTCTTTTGTGTCTCTGTTCAGCTGTGATACCCCATCTTCACTCAGAAGATGCAACTTTCCTGGTCTGGGGCAGTGTTTCTAGAACTGCAGGTTGTGGAATCCCAGTGCACAAAGAGTTTAAAAAACCTTTAGGTAGCAGCTTTCAGCTGTGAGCAGAGGGTGTGATATTCAGTTCCTCAGGATGGAGCAGTGAATGTTAATATAGTTCATAGTGATTGCCATTTCCTGCCTGCATGACCTCCCCTCCCCTTGAAGTTCAGCTGCTGCAGATTCAGAAGATTACCTGAAGTGAGATGAGCTAAGGGGAAGGGGCACACAACTGAAAACTTTGTGGAATAATAATTTAGCATATTGCCTATAAAACACTAACCCTGTATTGGTTTGATTATTTTACATATGTATTACAAGTAGCAGGCAAGGGCACTTTTATTGGAGTCAGTTGCAGGAAAAAAATTGCCCATCTTTTCTGTCTTCTCTGTCCGCTCTCACCCTTACATTGTTCACTTGATAGTACTTGTATATTTTAAAGGTGTCTTCTGTGTAGCTGATTGCTCTCTGCTTTTTATAGAAGGTATATATGTCATGCAGTAGTGTAAGGGACAGTAACCTTTTCAGAGAGAAGGGGAGTAAATTTAAATGTGCTCAGATTTCTTATCTGCTGCTTGAGTGAGTAAACTGGGTACTGGCAATATGTAAAAATATAAAAACTGACCTTTTTTTTTTTTAATGGGCTCAAATGCTTTGACATGAAAACCTCTGAGAGGTGGACATCTATGTAGAATGTTTAGTATAGAATGAATAGTATAGAATGTGTAGTCCAACAACTGGTCTGAAAACATACTGTTGGTTCCAAAGGTAATTTCTGTGTGCTTTTTTCTCCTTAGAGAGGTATTTTTTGCTAAAATTATCACTGCTGTCATCTTTTAGCAAGAATTCTAGTTCAAAGATAGGGGAATGCAAAAATGCGGCCATTATATAGCTTGAGTCAGGGGAAGGGATGTGAAGAAAAGAGCAGCATCCTTTAGTTTTTTTTTCTGAAGAATGGAATAATTAAGTAGTTTTAACATTATAAAATCTGGCAAGTGTTCAAGCCAGCTGTGTCATTTCTTTGCGTATGATCTCTTGTACTTGAATTGTGAACTGCAATTGTGGGCTGTAGAAAACCTAAATAACGGAATACTTTTCTATTTTTAACAGGTTAAAATTTGGAACTTGACCAAACGACAGTGTATTCGTACTATACAAGCCCATGAAGGTTTTGTTCGAGGCATGTGTACTCGCTTCTGCGGTACATCATTCTTTACTGTAAGTATAATGTGTCTCCTTAGTACATTGTAGCAGGACAGAACCTGGGCCTGTTCACCATCTGTTTTCCAGTGAGCAACTTACCCTCTGGCATACAATATTGTATGAACACTTATATTCAATTTGTCCATGAACTTGACAATTCTGTTTCTGGTGAAAGATTTTTGGTGCTGTGATGTGGACGTTATTCAAGACTATGGAAAGGATAGATACCAAAAAATTGCTAATGGATGATCATTTAATTAAAACTTGAGAAAGTAGTCTTCATTAAAGAAGTAGATAATGTTCATTGAAAGACATACAAACACTTAGAAAAGTAACCGTTTCCATACCCTGTTATTAAAGATAAACTGATTAATTCAAGATGGTTCCAGTTGAGTAATGGTGTTCAATAAGGTTATGTTAAAGTTTTATTAACTTATGTTGGCCATAACTGATTCAGTTGCGTGAAAACTATATGAAAACGGTATGTTTTCCTGTTTGCATTAAAACAAATCTAAGATGATACAGTAAAACGACTTGGTTTTGAAGAGCAGAGTGTCTTGAGCTTTTATTTTTTTGAGCTGGACATTGAAGCACTCTTTTTACTGCTATGTGTTTATCTTTTCTGCAGTACCTACCAGGTCATGAGTACAGTAGTTAGGATGTAGGAGAAGCCATAGCAAAAATTCTGAGTGACTCCAAAGTAGAATCCCGTTTTGACAATCCCTCTGCCTGAAAATGGAAAAAAGGAAAAAAGAAACAGAGGTAGTGCTGTCAGGAGAGGAAGCTTCTATAGCTTACTTTTTTTTTTCTAGTTTGCCTGATTCAGGTCACTGCACAGCCATGCAAAAGCTTGTGCTGGTGTAGTGCAAGAGGTAGCATGAGGTTAGGAACAGGCAACTGGAACAGCTGAGGTGGGAAGTGCCTTTTAACTGTTTACATGCTCATCAAAATGACTTCCATAAGATAATTTGCAGTTTAAAGTGCTATTTGATTAAGAACCACAAAATGCAGCCAAAAAAAATAGTCTTCATTCCAGCTTACCTTTTTCCTATTCAACCCTGGAAGTACCTTCTCAGTTTCTAGCATAACACTATGACATGGAGAACTAATCTTTAGCTTAGAGGTATAAAAGTGAATAAGCAAGAGAAAAAGCACTTTACTTCTGTCTATGTCCTAGATCATTCTCCTTTGAAAGGCTGACTGTATTTAATTGCAGAGCACATCTAGTAGAATAAACAGAATATACATGCTTTCTCCAATATTTTCAGGTTGGTGATGACAAAACTGTGAAGCAGTGGAAAATGGAGAGCCCAGAATATGGAGAAGAAGAAGAACCAATTCATACAATTCTTGGAAAGGTAGTAAATCTAAGCTTTGAATTTCCCACATCTCTTCTTTTGAGTTAAGTTTGAACCAATTCTTTTCTAGCTTTTGGAGGAGAGAGAAAGAATTTGATATCACATTATCATAATGGGTTGTGAGGTGATGGCATCAAATTTTATAATGGGACTTTTAAAGTATCTGTCTGAAGTTTTTATTGTATTCATTTTATATGTAACCAGAAAGAAATACCTCAAATGCCATCAGAGGCTGCTTAGGTCTGTCTCTACTGATCATCCCTTTCCTGTGAACTGGTCAGATCTTTCTGTAGTCAGAATTGAATCGTCAGTGCTTAGTCTGCATATTTTCATGCCAATATCTCGTAGCCATTCAGTACAAAATTTTAACTCTGTCTGTCTTTTTGACAAAAGCAGACTAAAAGTACACACTGCAGCACTTTCAATTTATGATAAGCTTATTTTAAGAACAACATTAAATGCTTTTTGTAAATAGTTTGAAAATCTTTAATTATTGTAATGTCTATGGGATCTTTTCAGGCCTCCAGTGAAAATCTGTAGCTCCACCCTTAAAATTTCCATTTGCTTTAAAGTCAGCCAGGACTTTGTAAATGGTCTTCTAATGCTGACTCCATTGTAAACTAACAAGAAATGTGTGCATGCACATTAAGTAAGTACACAGAAAGCTAGTCTGTTGTGCAAGGGTGCGTCTGATAAGGCTTAGTTTAGCAGTATTGACTTGGTTTCGGTAATATAAATGAAAAAAAACATGGCATACTTGGTATACAATGATTCATTGATCTTTTTTGTAATAGAACATACTTGCGTATTTATGTATACAATTGGTTTTGTAAATTGTTTTGGGTTTTTTGTGGTTTCTTTTGTTTTTTTTTCTTTTAAAGACAGTGTATACAGGAATTGATCACCACTGGAAGGAAGCTATTTTTGCCACCTGTGGCCATCAAGTGGACATTTGGGATGAGCAAAGGACAAGTCCTATGTGTTCTCTGACGTGGGGCTTTGATAGCATAAGCAGTGTGAAATTTAATCCCATTGAGGTAATGGTTCTGTTCTGTATTGGAAATCAGTATTTTTCTTGATCAGTGCAAGATCTAAACTCTATAAACACCATCATTAACAGCTTTTTCCAAATTTAGATTGTGTTTTAACATAATATTTAGGGGGGTATATACATATATTTTTATGGCTATATTGCTTTGGAATGTAGTATCATATATTTTCATGTTTTTATAATTTGTTTCAGTTAGTGAGGGAGAAGAGAAACAAAAGTAAGTTGGTCTCTATTCTGCCCACAGCAACACATACCCTGTACCTCAGCCATAAAGTGAAGCTGTCATGTGGCAATGGAGCTCTCCTCTATTCCAGTACTGTATACCCTGTGACCAGGATTTCTACTCCTCTCTGTGACAAAACAATTGCGTTTTGTCTTCTACAGCCGTTCCTATATACCTCTTGGCTGGGCTGTGTTTGTAGATGAAGTGCTTATGAGAAATTGCTTGTTACTTTTGAAGTAGAGAGGACTGGGTGTATTCTGAATCTTCCAGGGGAAGCTATTTAAAATACTTGTGCTGAATAATTAGCTGCATAGGAAGAATGACAAATGTATTTCCTTGACTAAAAAAGGAACTATTTGACTGCCATCTTTGTGAAATAGCTTAGGTACCTAATTTCTACATTAGGTACCTACTCTAGAAATGTTCAGAAGACAATCCACAGTGGTTTTCTTTGTGGTTTTTTTTTTTTTTAGACTTACCTTTTGGGAAGCTGTGCTTCTGACAGAAATATTGTGCTGTATGATATGAGAAAATCAACTCCATTAAAGAAGGTAATCTTTTTATTAAGCTTATGGTGCTAATAATCAAACTGAAAACGTAAATAATCTGTTACTGTTGATGACAGTGGAGAAAGGGAAGCTCTGAACTGTGAGTTCACTGCATTTTCATTGTCTAATTTTGAGTCTTTTAACTGAGTTTGAATTAATGTTGGGATTCTAAACCATACAGAGTTAGAAGGGCCTTTTTGTGCATTCAACTGGGCTGTCATGCTCACTCTGTTGTAATTCTTGACAAAGCGCCTGACCTGACAGCAATTTCACAATAAGAACTTTATGTTCCTTTATTGCATTCTGTCTGTGTATGTGTTTTTTTTAATTCTCCTCCTTGCCAGAAGGAAACAAGGTAACTTCTAAGGCATTTCCTTTCCACCTCTTGGGAGCCTTGCTCTGCATTTCAAAAGGTGTTTTTCTTTTGCGTGGAGGTAAACCCTCTCCTATGCACCTAGTATAAACATTCAGACATCCTTTGCAGCAGAATCAGAATTGTATTTATACATGGAATTTACCAGTGATATGAAGATTCTTGCTTATCTTTAAGATAATATACGTATTTATTTAAAACAAGAAGCCAGTAATTCATACACGCGTATTAACCTCAATCAAGTTCAGTAGTTTTGAGCCCCAGAACTATCAACAGTTTTCTTCTGGAAATACAGTATTCTGGTTTTATGAACTCAGTATCCTTCTAGCGTGTTATATACTGTCTGCAATAACAGTGGTCTGATGTACACTATAGTGGTACTTTACTTAGTTACAGAATAGAATTGTTGTTGGTGTAACAGTATTTCTTTCTCTCCCTGTGCCTCAACATTTTTAATGAAGTTTCATTTGGGCCATTGAGACAATGCTTATAAAAAACTGTCAGTGGTGCCAGTGGGAGACCTGAATGTCAAAACTAACACAGCTGTAGATCTGTAGTTATAAAAGGATGCATTCTGAGTGTGTGTGAACTAAGTTTTATTCTAACAGAATTTTACACATGTATATGGGCTTAAATATATAAAGGTGTACATTCATATACGTATGTGCACATGTGTGTGTCTCATGTAGTAAGCAGCATGTTAGGTGCATTTCCTGCTATAGGAGTAAAACACTGATGAATACTTCCTTACTTCCTTGCATCCCTGGATGGGTACCTGCTACTGGATTTCCTGCTGGGATAGGGAGGATTCCCAGGTGGAGAGGCAGTTGAGTGTCCATTTCTGCACTGAGAGCTAAGAGCTCTGTAAGTCCCAAGAGAAGGGTGCTTCTTATTAGACGTACATTACCTATGTATGGGCACTGGCTCCTAGCACTGCTGTGTTCCTGGTGTTTGATCAGCAGAGCGGCTCACACACTGCCCTGAGTTTGGAACTCAGTGAGAGTCCCATCCTTAGTGGAAAGGGGAATACAGCCTCGCACATCATGAAGCAGTAGCACTCTTGCCTGTTTGTCCTGTCTGTTGAGTTTCGAAGTCTTAAGTTTCAGAGAGAGACAAATAAGAAGGTGAGATGCTGTGTAAATCTAAAATGAATAAAAAAGCTGGAAAAAGGTGAAGGGAAGCACACCTGTTGCATGACAAAAGGAAGGTTTTTGATAGCAGTTAGTGTTCTCTATAATGAAAAGTAATTCTTGTGGAACGCTGTGTCTTGCAGTGCAGACTTCATATTGAACAGGAGAACATTGCCTAGGAAATGATGACTTACAGAGAACAAGATTTGAGAATATTCACACACTCATAATCAGTATCTTTTGGAGGGGTTCAGTAGAGGTCAACAGTATTTACTTGCTTTGGGATTGTGTTCATTATTGTAAAAGATATAATTGCACAACTATATTTTGTTATATATATGTAAATTTATGGTGTTTGGTATAGTAAGCTGAGAACAAAAATGAGTTTGGAGTACCATAGTGTTAAAACACCAAAATGTTATGATTTTCTAGTAGGATTATGGATGGCCTGCAGCATTGTGGAAAATCCTGTTTAGAGTTGTTGAGGTTGTTAATGTGTTGCTCTGTAATTATACATCTATTTTGTGTCAGGCATACTGTATGGGATTTATTTTTAAATGTAGTAGTTGAAAGCTCCTCCAAACTCAGCAGAAGCCAAAGCTGTTGTGTTGTACAGGGTGTCAGATGCCCTCATCCCAGCCCCCTCCTTCTCCTGCAGGGGCCTAGCTGTTACTGCCACAGCTGTCCTCCAAGGTGGGAGTATCTGACACATAACTGCTTAATGCCACTTGTCTAGCCCACTGTTAGCAATGTAGAAGGGTCTTACTAGGCTGTCATCAGCTGCCTTCCTCCCATTTCAAGGCAAACTGGCCTCTGCTTAGCCATCTGCTTACTACCAGCAAGCAAATCTTATGAATGTGTAACAAATTATTCACTGCTAGCGGTGAGTAGATTACAACACAGTCACTTCTGCACACATTGCTTGGCTCTTCAACAAGAAATGGCAGCTCTCCTGGAGAATGTATGAACTGGAATTTCAGAGATAAAATGATGAAGGGATAGTAATTAGAGAACATAAAAATGTTAAAATCACTTTCCAAATGCTGGTTCACAGCATCAATTCATGACTGTTTTTTGAAATAACCATTTAGTTAGGTGTGTTTATAGATTACTTAACTAAAGGTTTCTGTAAATACGATGAAGTTTTTCAGAAGTTCCAGGTTTACATGTTGACCACTAACAAGTTTACATATTAAACGTCCACTTAGAAGAATTGCTTCTAAGATGACTTACAGAGGAAAATTTAATTGCAGCATATCACAAAGCAGTGGGCATAGGATGAGGGGACAGGAGCTTCTCCAGTTCCAATTTGAATACTGGTGAGGAAACATTCTGTCATGGCACTGTTCCTCTGCCCTAATTCTGTGTCTATCAAGTGCTTGTCTCCAGTGGTATTGGAGGCTTTGAACTGTAGCAAGTATTTTACTGTCTGTAACAAGGTAGCAATGTGTAAATATCTTTCAGGTTATCTTGAACATGAGGACAAATACACTGTGTTGGAACCCCATGGAAGCATTCATTTTTACTGCAGCAAATGAAGATTACAAGTAAGCATGACCTTGCTTTTTGATGGTTGTGATCATGTTGGTTTTAATCTATATCTTAATAATTTATCATTAGCACAGAATCACATAAAATATATTTTGAAAAACCTACTGAACTCTAAATTTGAATCACTTAAGTAAGAACCTAGAGAATTACAGGCTCACTGATTTAAAAAAGAATTGGTAGTAGACTGCCTTTTTCTCTGTATTTCTGTACCTGGGAGGTAAAAAGCAGTGTAACTTATAAAAAATGCAGCTGAACCAATGTAAGTATAGCTTGCAACAGCACCTGGAAAATAAATATTATTGGTCTGGTCTGAGGCAATATAATGTTTATTTTCTTGCCAGCTCTTGTGAAACTTGATATGTTATACTGATCTGCTATTTTGATGAGAACATTTAATATAAAAAAGTTTAAACAAATCTTTTGTAAACCAGTTCCAGAGACTGCAGTACTTACCCTTGCAAAAAACTGCTCTGAGATATTGATTTTGAACAATACTGTTCATGTGAACAGCTAATCTGATACTGAAAAAGCTGTCTCTTCAAAACTAGGCCACTACAAAATGTGCTTCATGTCCTTTTTTTCCAGAAAGTTAGTGATCTAACAGTAGATCGCTGTTTTCTTCTAGAACACAGAAATTTTGTCACTTATATTAAGGCTCTTTGTCCAGGGAGGTAGAATCTGGTCCAGACCTTGAAAGTGGGTCTTATATTTAATACACCGTTTTACAGCTATTTTGGTTATGGTGTGGTTATGCTACCAGGCTACCTAATCTGTTATATGTGTCTCTCCCACCACCCCTCTTTAAAATAAAAATGGTAGCTGTTACTGTCAGTGGCAACTGTCCTCTTGCAAACTAAAGCAGTTAGTATAAGCACAATGGCAAATGCCTATATCAACGTCATGCATGCAAGTGTTAGCTGATTATATGGAGTAGCTGTTTTGAATATGATGATAGCTGTATTATATATATGCTATATATTATTTATATATAGCTTCTATATTATATACATAATACAGAAAAATAATTGTCAGTAAACTATTGAATAAGAGATGAATTAATTCTAGTTATGCACTCATCTGCAGCAAGGAGGGTGAGAAACCTGCTAAATTACAAGTTTTTAATACAGTGGTTCTACTAAATTGTGTATGTTATGCAAGTTTCATTAAATGCTTTGTCCTTTGCTTACTGGTGCTAGGCAGGTTAATGAATGACTCAGCCTTGCTATGTGACAGTGGGCTGCTTGATTCAAAGGGAGTACACATAGACCTCACCTGAGCTTTGAAGTGCTTAAGAGCAAACCAGCTGTCACCCAGTAGCTGTGTCTTAATATTTAATGTATTGCTTTTCTATGGATAGTGCGCTCTGCTGAACTAGTATCTTCATGTACTGAAGGACCAAGCTTCCCTTGGGCTCCTGCATTATCTGGCCTAAAGACCAGGCAGTAGGAGAGGGTGGTGACCAAATGGCAACTTCACCATAGACTCTGAGTTACTAGGAGTTCCTGACAGGGGAATATCTAGAAACCTTGCAGAGTAGATAGGCTTGCCATAATGATTCAGAGATGCTTGTTCAAGTTCAGTTTATATGCTTATATCTGAAGATGGAGTGAAGGACAGTGTGGTGGTTGGAGGAATAGGTTTGGTTAGTAGTGACCCATGAACAGATAAGAAAGGGAATGGTGGAGAATATCTGTTCATAGAATCATAGAATACCAGGTTGGGAGGGACCACAAGGATTATGTAGTCCAACCTATCAAGGTAAAAGTATAGTTTAAATGAATCGGCACCCTGTCAAGCTGACTCTTAAAACTGACCAATGTAGGGGAATTTACCACTTCCCCTGGGAGATTATTCCAATGTCTGACTGATCTCATGGTAAAAAAAACTTCTTCTGGAGTTCAACTGGAATCGCTCCAGAAGCAACTTGTGTCCACCGCTCTTTGACAGTGAGCAAGAAACTCACTCCAAAGATCCAATAACTAAAGCCTCTGTTTAAAAAAGGCCTTAAAAATGCATCATTCTTTCTTTTCATGTGTTATGAGCAGTTTTCAAGAGTTCCCTCTGCAGTATGGATCTATCCTTAAGTGCGGTATATGTTTGATTAAAGTAGCTGTTAAGCATATATATACTGTTTACTTAGGTGTTGTTAAGGTATTAAGCTGTTGGTGTATTTGTTTTAAAGCTTATATACATTCGATATGCGCTTTCTTGAATCACCTTTGAGGGTACACATGGATCACGTGTCTGCTGTTCTTGATGTGGATTATTCACCCACTGGGAAAGAATTTGTCTCTGCCAGCTTTGATAAGTCTATCCGCATTTTTCCTGTAGACAAAGGTCACAGCAGGTGAGTGGTTTTGCACCTTTCCCTCTTGCTGTCATTTATTCCGTTACCTCACTCCTTATCCTCAAAATTCTTAATTAATTCATTAACATCTTCACTGAGTCATTCACTTTCTCTGAATGTTGAAAACTTCTGTATATAACTTGAGATTCACAGGTCATGTAGCTGACATAATTCTGGAGCATATATTGAAGTAGAACTTCTACTTAATGGTTAGCAGCATTTCTGCAGTTTTGGATTAAAATTACAGCACATTATTGTTCTTGGGTGTACTCATTTGTATTTTACCAAGATGAATCCCATATGATTTCCTGCTATCTTTAATGTTTTTAGGTCACTTTGTACTTTATCTGTCACCACTTACATTTGCAGTGCCTTACAACATTGTAGCATTTGGTTTTCTAGGGACTGTCTTCATCCTATATGGATGATTGCTAAAGACATTATGTGAAAATCAGTGTTGTATGAATTCTTGAGGATCAGTTCAGGACACTTTTGTGATCTCTTTCAGTACACGTATTACCTTTTGTTCATATTTTGTTAACCAGGTTTTGATTCATATGACAATGCTTTGAATACAATTCACTTTGAATTAGTTTTTCATGTAAGATTTCATAAGTCAGTGTATTAAATATTTTGCTGAAGTTCAGATTGGATCTACTGTGTCTCTATTGGTTTTTTTTTTCAGTTTGATGAAAATTGAAGCAGGTTATCAGATCTGTCTGGTATCATTTGTTCTTCATAAACCTACCTTTATTACTCTCTTGTCAGTTTTTCCTCTTCTTTTCTTTATTCGTGTCTTTATTTTACTTCTGGTTGCCTTCCTTTCTCCAGCATTTGCTCCCCAAAAAGTTACTACTAGGTCAAGTTCTAGGTGGTTTGGGGGCTGGAGCTGTATATTTTTTGGGGAGGAGTGTATCTTTATTATTGAGTGATGCAGTTACGTATGCATTATTCAAAGTAACTGCATGCTCCTATACTTCATTAAAGATTGAGAACGGCTGTTTACCTTTTCCTTTAACTAATCTAAAGGTATTTTCAGTTTTCCTCTTGTCTTGCAATAATATTTTAAATGTAATTAGGTATTGCAGTTCCTTTGTTGGATATGTTTTGTTTCTGTTATTGTATTATTAAACAATATGGGATAACAACTCTTGTGTTCTACAGATTTTCCTTTCTGTTGAAGAGTAATGTTTGCAGAAGTGGTGATATGCAAAGTTAAAGTACATAATTCTGGGGAAGTTTGCAGACCCCGTAATGCAACAGTAAAGGGCTGTAATCCACATCACAGCAGATTGTTGCCAGGGCCTGTGGAAGGAGTTTCCCTCTCTCTCTGTTCCGCCCTTGTTATCCCTTCTGTGTGGTGGCTGTAAATCTAGTGAGGAAGAGCATTACAGATGAAGACCTTAGCATCATACAAGCTGACAGAGGCATTCTGGGCCACTTAAAATTCTTTAGAAGCTGGGTTTTTTTCAGAATTATGCCGTTGAAATTAATCCCATGGAATGGAGAAAAGTCTCAAATGGAAGATCTCATCCCACTTGGAAACTGAGCAGGCAGTTAAGAGCATCTGTAAACAAGGATCCTGATGATATCTCAGTTTTGACTTTTGATCTGCTGCCCATCTGAAAAACTCTTAACTTCTGTTGCTTTCTACTTTTATTTTAAAATGTTTCTCTTTGCTTTAGGGAGGTGTATCATACAAAGCGAATGCAGCATGTCATCACTGTGAAATGGTCTTCAGATAGCAAGTACATTCTGTGTGGCTCAGATGAGATGAATATTCGTCTGTGGAAAGCTAATGCTTCTGAAAAACTGGGAGTGGTAAGAGTTGCATTTTGGTTTTTGTTATCACAAGACAAGATGTTGGGGAGGTTTTTATTGTTAATACAACTGGTTAGCCTATTGAATTTCTAGAAATCTTTTTCTTAAGGGGAAATGTAATGACACTTGTGTTTAATCTGAAAAATAACATGAGCAGTACAGCTCATTGCATTTACTGTAGCCTATAATAATAAAATTACACCCCTTGTTATTGCTGCACAAAGTGACTTTTTTGTCTTGTTTCATGTTAACAATAATCATCAGTTCTAAATAAATTAGATTAAGAGTTTTTTACCTGGGTGCTACAAGTAAGAATTCATCCCTTTGGACTAGAGACAAAGCAATAAATTCTGGTTTGCTATATATAAGTCATTCTACTGAAGCTTAGGGTTACTACTTTTAAAAAAAATTTGACTGCCATGCAACTGGTTCATACTTGATAAGCATACACATAGTAAAATAGACAACTTGCACCAATGTGTAACTGAGACTGTCATTAACGTATGTAACACTTGGATATCAAGTGAGCAAACTAAGGTGTCTTAAGTCCATTTAATTCAATCAAAGTTAGTTTGGTTGAAGTGCTCCTAGTAGGAACAGACATCACTAATTAGATACATGTCTTTTCAGTTATATTTGTTCAAATGTTTATATGTAGACAAAGCAGAAATGTTCTGTTACAGTTACCACTTGTATATCTGCACAGTTGTATTAAAGATTGAATGACTTTGGAGAATGGATTTGACACTATGTCTGCTGGGAGTAATCCCTTTACATAGCCTTATATCGTTATGGTATTTTGGAGGTGCTTACATTGCTTTTTCTGAGCCCATCAGCACAGCTGTCAAATAAAGCTTGGGGGAGTTTCTACTTTATCTTGTGAAAGATTTAGGGGGGAGGAAAGGGAGGCTCTAATTCAGGGAAGAATATTGTACAGTTGAGTAGATGGATCTGTTGCATAGTTATGTCTAGGGCTGCTTGTGATTACCTGAAGCTACATCAAGTGATAGTATCTGTGTAGGAAGGGAGTAGAGCAGAGCTGGGGTACTTAGGGGTACAATGTACAATGGGGTAATTTATGGACTGTTTTGCACTTTGAAGCACAGGATATGGAGTAGCACAGCTAAAATAATGTCTCTTTAGCCATGGCCCACCATAGGTATTTGGAGGTCTTATTTTTTTCATCTTTGCTATAAATTAAAAAATATAATTTTGTGGCCTGTACAGTATTTGTGGTTAAAAACTATTATTTAAGTTGGATTTGTTTAATGGAGTAACTTTTGTTGAGAGTGCTATTTTTGTTCCTGTTCTGAACTGATTCTTGGGATTTTCCCAGGTAGTGCTTCAGCCAAACAGCTAATATCTGAATATCAGCCCTTTACTTGTTAATTCCAAGGACTGTGCAAAGCTCATTATAGGCTGTGCTTTTTGATTCAATTTTTGTTGAATTTGCTTAGACGGTGCAGTGTTGGGCAGACATATTACCTGTTTTCCTGCTGTTGTATCCATATAGTCATGGCGATGCCCTTTTCACCTGGTTTTACAGTATTAGCTGAAATTTTCTTTATTCACTATATTCATTCTTGGTATTGAAAGATAGCGGCGTGCTATCTTTCTCCAAGATGTAGTTCTACATCAGATTTGTGTGGGATTTTTGACGTTGATCTTTACTCTGTACCCTTTGTGTGAAGGACAAGAGGGTAAAAAAAAAAGTCAAAAATAACATTTTTCATATAGAATTATTCCTAATATTTTCAGATTTTGAACAGCAAATTCATTCTCTTGAATGCTAGATGGCATTTGCTTATGAAAGAGTGAGGATACTTGGTTCTAGGAAGAAATAGGCCAACCCACTTGCTCCTACTTAGCTGTTGTTTTAAGTATTCAGCATGGAGAGCGGTAAATTACTTTCTGCTGTTTTCTGTAGTATTTGCATTGACAAAACTTGTCATCCTGTCTTAAAAATAAAGAAACAGACCCAAACGCAACACCTTGCAACATCAAAAGACATTGCTAACAAGCAAGATAATTTAGAAATACAGGAAGAGCTTACATGGAACACAGTGAATTATGTATTTAAAAATGCTTTCATATCACGGGGATGATGCTAATGAACTTGTGAAGAGTTACATTACAATAATAAGAGATAGTGTTCACATCCCTGTATCTTGTCTGGAAATGTGTTCAAGTATGTTACTGTTAAAGGCTTGAATTTAGCAAGACAGACTTTGGATGTTAAATTAGTAAATGTCTGAAGCTGCTATAGTTGTTAAAAATGTGTTTTAGAAGCACTATGAACTTTTATTTTTCATTTATTTAGAGAGTAATTGTTGCTGACAGAACTTAAGAGTGGAATCTTTATGGCTCACCCCGTTCTTGGGTATACCTTGGAAATGTTGCTTGGATTCAGGCAGCTGTGCCAATCCTTGTTCAATCCGGCTGGGTAGTTCTTGTGATCTTTAATGTTGCAACTGTTAATGGGTATTTATCAGGTTCCCCTGCTGTGCTTTAGTACCTGCTTCTTTTTTAGAGGATTGGTGTTCTTATCTTTGTAGACATATGCTTGCTTATTTTATAAATGTCCAGATCTTTCATAGTCTGTGGCTATTTTTTGAACATTTTGAATATTCAAAACTGAACACTCAGTAATTCTGTCGGAAGTGTCAGAATATGTCTTAAATGCTGAGTTGCTTGGTCTGCTGTTTTTCTTTGCTGAGGAGATTTGATTGAATGACTCATCCAAAGGTCACTGTATTTCTGATACAGTGCTAACATCTTGCAAGACACTGTATTTTAAGATGGATATTTCTGGGGTGTGGGTGAATGGAAACCAGTATTCTTTGAGTACTTAGTTTTATTTGCTTTTAGCATTGCTGGGTTCCAAGAAAGTTATGGTGGATATATAATACTTGCATTGTGACTGATGAACATTTATCCAGTTGGAAAGTTGTACTCTAAATTGTGGCTACCCTAGCAGTCAGCAGTTCTGACATGCATGTTTCTTTTGGGTTTTAATGTGTTTGGCATTGCATTCATTATTTAAAATCAGTGAAACATTAAGAATAAAAGTCTCTGGAGGAGCCAGAGGCATGCTGTGTCTCTACTCCACTGACAATTAGTTTGCATGGATTTTACATAGGGGTAGCAAAACCCAAATCCCTGTTAGAGCTACTGCAGAAGCTACTGTAAAATAGTCTACAGTATTTAGGTTTTCTTTTTAATAAGTTTGTTAAAGAATATATATTAATTACTAGGACTTAACAGGTTTTCTTTTTAAAGCATAAAACATTTAGCTCTGCATGTCTAGAAGCAAAAGACCCAATTAAACAAGACTTTCAAGGTACTCCAGACTGTTCAAATACAGTATATAAAATTGGACATGTTAAATATGTTTGAGGCTTTTGTACCTGCGCCCTTGGGGAGGTTTGGGAATTCTGAAGAGGT